ATATGATGTAGTTCAACGTCCTTCAAGCTTTATTTGTATTTTTGAAACATCCTGTATAACATAACTCTATGTCTTATAGGAGCAGAGCACCAATAAAAATTTTGCAAGAACGAGGAAAAAATAATCCATTTGAGAGCTACCGTTGCGTGCGAATAATTTCCAGTTGAAAATCGGCTTTGCCATTCTTTAGTTAAATTTGTACAAAATTTATACCAGTTATCATGTTATGCGCAAGGTTCGCATAATTTATCAAACTTTTGAATAGATATCGGACAAAGGACCCCAATTTGCAACTCGAGTCCCGAGGTATAGAAATTAAATTAATGTATTAATGAAATATAATAACACACCCCCTAAATATCTTTGTATGTAATAGATTTAACTAATATTGTTTATTTGTTTCTTAGGTTTTCACGCACATCACTCATTAAATAAAACTAGTTTTTACGGGTTAATGCACGAAACTTTATTTATTTATTGACGTTTCGTAGCCTTTACAGGCCACGTTGTCAGAATCAAACTTTTATTTTCTGATGATTCTGATTCTGACGACGTAGCTTGTAAAGGCTACGAAACGTCAATAAATAAATGAAGTTTTGTGCATTAACCCGTAAAAACTAGTTTTATTTAATATTGTTTAATCCGAATAGGGGGATGATGACTATTTTTTTTTTCTTCGTTTATCAGGTAGATTATCAAAAAGTATTGCACACGTATTTTTTCTTTTTTCACATAATATAAACATTGCAGAGGTATATTGATTTGAAAAGTCGCATGACGTCACGTTTGAGTACACTTATAAGTGAAAATTCACTCAAAAGTGACGTCACGAGCCCCTACTCCCAAACTTTGCCGCGCTATAGCTTTGTCATTTTTTGGTTGATTGCCCAAAGAAAAAATAACTGACTAAATAGAATTTCGTTTACTGTACCCCATCATCCGAATAGAAACATTTTATTGTGTAACATTTTTAGGGTTTCTCTCGGAATTATCAAATGAACCGCCACCAAACAATACGTTATGGAAGGTGAATGCTGTACACGATCACATTTTCACTATTTGCAAACGTTAGAGTACAGGTAATGTAAGTGGGGTGCAAAACTACGACAAGTCTCGCGTCACCCGTATTAAGTTATGGCACGTTGAAATTTCGACAACAAAGCTATCATTTTGCTAGGACAAACTTTGATGATTTGAACCTGTTTTTTTCTCCCCCAAATGATTTGGTCATTTGGGGGAGAAAAAAACAGGCCTTGCTGAGTTTCTTGCCGGTTTTTCACAGTACAAGGTCTCTCGCCGTAGCTTTGCGAACCGATGGCGTAGCTTCTAGACATTCATGAGTGCTTTGTAACAGCCTAGAGTGAATAAATGATTTTGATTATTGAAGTTATACTTCTTTAGGCGCGTTATGAAAAAATGATGAGAGTGAAATTTTAAGATGCGCGCGCATCACTGTAACACAAAATTTTAACAGCATGAAGTTGGTCGCTTTAGCGTTACTTTTGTGTTTACCGCACATTAAGAAAATCTACCAACAAAATAGAAATAGAATCTGTATTTAGTGGGTGCTAACGACTGCATTGTGAAGGCCTATCAAAAGTATTTATTAATCTGGAACAACGGAACCAAAGCGCGATTCAGGAGACTACAGCGCCATCTCTTGACCATTGGTGTAGTAGAACCAAAAACCACATCTTTATTTTTTGTAATAAAGTAACAGTTATAGGTATTCATATTTATAATATTTATCCACATGTTTCTAGTTTGTATATTGGGAATACGTGTTTGAGTTTCATACAAGTGCAAATCACTTATGTTCTAATAAATTATATTCAGTAGCGATTTTAATTGAATATTTTGATTATTTATTTATTTTTTCAAATTAAAACTGAACTTTATTGACTGTGTCCTTTTCCAGACTTTTTATTAATTTATTGTAATTAATTATTTGCATGCAATTAAAAACTAATTTTAAACGATGCCAAAGAAGGATAACTTCTCACGCGCCTACATAAGTACACGCACCCATTTTTTTGATTATTTGTTTCAATAAATAAAATTAAAAATAATTTAAACAACAGGATACTCCAACTAGTTAAGTTATTAATGAATGGGCACTTTTATTTCAAAAACTTAAATCATAGTCAAGGTGAGTGCATCTTCGAGAAGAAGTAAGCTGAGGACACGCCACCAAGTACTTAAAAAGACATTTATTTTCTTTTCTAATAAAATAAATATGTCTGTTCATTTAGCCAACTTACAACTTAATTGTAGCATGCTAGAAAAAATATCTAATGACAAAATATGCACTTTACACTGGTATTCTCAGCTTGGACATGCAAAAAATGTCCTTGGGATATTCACTCAAACAAAGCTTATTTCTTTGCGAAGATAGCATATGGCAGATATACTATGTGTATCTGCCGCACACGGGCCACACGCCACAGCCACAAACGCCGCCACGAGAAGCTGGAAGCGGCTACTAAAGTGGCTGAAGCGTGTGACAGCGGCCGACTAAGGTAAGGGAGAGAGGGGTGGGGAATCGCGCGAGTGACGTGTGGCGGCGTTTTGTATCGGCGCATTAAGTGGCCGGTGCGGGCCACAAGAAGCGAGCAACGACGACTTGTAGCGTGTGGCGGCCACCGGCGTACCGTGTGTGGCGAGTCCATATAAAATGTATGAAAACTACAAGAAATATGCCGGTGGTGGCGTTTTGTGGTTGTGGTTGGTGGCTCGTGTGCGGCGACAGTGTCATTACATGCAAACTTTACCGAACACGATTTCAATTCTCCTATTATATCACTTGCGTTTTCATGTCTGGAAATGCGTTACCATATCTCCCTCCCATCCGGGAGAAAGGTTAACGGGCCTCTGAGGGCTCTACCCTGTCATTTCATCTACCTCGTGGGCACTATAAAATATTATCTGCACCCAACACGCACTCCTATGACCAAGGTCCCCTGAATGCACGTCGTGAGTGCCGGCGTAGTTGTGACATCCCGTTAGGACTGGCCACATCATCATCATCATCAGCCTATTAATGTCCCCACTGCTGGAGAAAAGGCTTTCCCTATGGATGGAATAGGGAGATTGGGTCATGACCCACCACGCGGGCCCAGTGCGGATTGGCGGGTGCTAACGGCTACAGCTGCCTTCCGAAGCACGGAGGAACTTGACATAGATTTTTTGGTCACCCATCCAATGACCGACCACTGCGAAAGTTGCTTAACTTCAACGATCACAGTCGAAAGCGCTAACCACCTGCGCCATCGAGTTCCTCGCGTACCCGCCGGTTATTGTCCACGACGGGCCCCCCGGAGGCGAGAAGAAGTAATTTGCAGACCGGTAAAGAGAGGATGCCTGGTGTGGCAGACGAAACGGCTGCACCAGCTAAGGTCCCTGGCGCCCTAGACGGCCAAGACCACGGCTAGTGGCCGCATTGACCAGATTAACTAAAGAATCCATACGAACGTCACACACTTGGCCTCAATGCCCAACTCCAGTTGATCTGCAGCTCTATTTATGAATAGCTCGCCTGACATAGGTCCGTATTACAGTATGACAACTAAGTGTCGATCTCTACTTGAGTACAGTTAGAAAGGGATGTCGCTATGTGCTATATATAGCGACATCCCTTTCTAACTATGCTCAAGACTAGATCAATCACTGAGAATCTTTCTATAATACACAGGCCATTGTATCGTCGAATGCGACTTAAGGCACTTTCGACTTCCAAGTCGCTTGATACTGATTTTCCATATTTTTGAATCATTCAGCTACAGTGTTACCAGTTTAATACAAAATATTTATTTTTATTATTTTAACGGTAAAAAGATAAAAAGCAGTCATTACCGCTGTGGAAAATAAACGTATAATTCTCAATAACTAGTTAGGTATTTAATCTTTTGCCTTTTTTGTTAGAAAAGATCAAGACGTCGCAACAAATAGTCATCCTATCTGTATTTTAAAAAGATTGAGGAAAAAACTTGAAAATATCTGACATAAAATTGACAATTATTCTACCATTCGCCTCCATCGTTCGCCAACGCGCAACGAGTGGTGGAGACCGCTCGTTGGCGTCGAGCGATTCAAAAATACGGAATTTATTATGTCGATTCAAAATTAATAAAATCGAGCGTTCGACGCAAGGCGTTTCAAAAATAGAGCTATTGGTTGTGCAGCCTGTCTAACTTTGCGTCTAAACCAGGGCTTGTTTACCGGTTAATTTTCAAACCCAAATCAGTGTCGAGTGCATTAGGAGCGTTTTATTTAGGTTAAGCTCTAAAATAACCTTCAAAAAACCGGTTTTCTTAAAAAGCGAAATCAAATAGGTTTTGAATCAATTAGCGGTTTTTAAAGGGTTTCATTTCGCTCTTACTGACGGCATCGATAATAAATGAATAACTTGACTTACTAGACGCTAGCAAATGTGTCAATCAATGCATCAATCTCTGAGCATTAACAAGTTGTGACTTGATTAGTCCAAACAAAACAAACTTCAAGCGATGCCGACGCGTGCACGTGTCGCTCTGGATTAAACCGGTTTATAAGGTTTTAGGTACCGCTTTCATTACGGACGCGCTCCGAACGAAACCTTTACTAAAAACCGGTATTAACCTTTGTTTACCGGTGTTTTCGAAACCGGTTTCAAGCCCTGGTCTAAACTCCACTTTCACTTAACATCACGTGGAGTCATTTGTCTACTTAGTAGACTTCTGCTCTATGAAAAATATTTTCTAAGATCAGTATTTATTAGCTTAGCACGAATATCAAATACCTAATACCAATAATAATATCGAATTCGTAATGTTTGCGAGCCCGAAATGTCATTGTTTGGACTGATTTTTAGTTCTCGTTACGTCCTTTTTAAGTTTCCATACAAAATTTGACAATGACATTTCGGTATTCGATAATGGTTCGTATTAAAAGGTACTTTTGGGTTCAATACCAGAGGTTTAAGAGAAATGGAAAGTTAAATAAACAATTGTTATTTTTATGTATTCAGTTCCATTTTATTTTACGTAGTGGCGTTTATATTCAACAATGTTAACATTATAATACAACTAACTTATAAATAAGTATTACAGATCGCCGACAAACATGCAATATCACACAAAAAAAAAACTATCAAGAAAATCTACGAACATTATTCATTTAGTCTATTTTAAAAGCTTTTAAAGCAAGCACCGCGTCTAAAGACGGCAATGTTATTTACATATTTTTTTTTAGTTTTACTAGATACAATTGTAAGTATCAGGATAAGGAGAGAATTTACTGTTCCTAAGAACTTTCTTTGCTCTGTAAAATTTGATTGTTTTATTTTAACTAGCAGTCAATATCAAAATATGAATCTTGGTAACTCATTTCATAATTATATCTATGGACAATGGCACGTCATGTTACCAAAAAATATTAAAACACAACTTCAGCCTAGCCTTCTAGGTTAATATAATAAATTGATTTGAGAATTTTGACAGTTTCCTTTAATCTGAGGAGTTGCTGTTTTGAACAATACAGACTTCGGACTGCAATCAAACTATAGTCTTGAATACAGATTGAGATAGTCCAACATATTTATTATATTAAGTCTTAAAATGTTTGGAGTCGCATGTGAATCGGCGAGTGCGCACTACGGCTAGCTCCCAGCCTGCGCTAGCCGAAAAGCGCTATTCCTCTCTTATCCGCTCATTGAATGCTAGTATCAGGAGAGGGAGAGGTATATAAGGGAGATAGATGAAATGAAAAACTATCTCTCCCTCCGAATACAAATAATGTCATCATAATTAAGAGAGAAGAAGGGAAGCATATTTTTGAATTACAATCTTTTTCTTCTATTTATGACAGCTAAACATATTCCAAATATTTATTTATTTAATTAATTAACTCTTTCAAAATATATGTTTATTAAAGTGATTTGACCAATTTTGAGCGTCTAAGAGAGCAATTTATTTAAATTCCTTAAAATAACTTATCCTAACTCCTGTCTAGTGCGTCCCGTCACCTTCTAGAGATACAAACAAACAAAGTGGAGAGGCGACCGGCAGATGGCGATATTATTAAAAAGTTTCAAAACCTACACTTTAATATTTTAGTCGAATATACGGAAAAGTACACACATAAAAAAACTGTATGTTTTGTTATTAATTATTGATGTTTAATTTGTTTTCTTAGTAAAGTGGATTGGTATACAATATTTGTATAAAGTTCTCGAAAATATATTTGGTGGATATTAAAAATATAAACTTTTACTGTTTTACAGTTATATCTTTATCATTATATCTTTATCAGATTAGTTTAACTATTACTAGTAAAAGTGGTTCAAACGTCAAAACCTCTACAACATGATGCTTGGACTTTCTTGATGAGTATATTTAGTCGAACTCTCAAAATTAATATTCTGACAGCCACACTCAAAGAAGTCAAAATGAAAGGAAACGGACAACTTTTAAGCAACGAAGCATTAAATTAGTTTGACTTTTTTGAGTACTGCTGTCAGCTTAGTTATTTAATAAGACAGTACATTTTTTTATACCGAATCAGAACTAATGAAACTGAAAGCCAAGAGAATTTTTACAAACTTAATAATCTCTCCTACGATGCGTTCTCTCTCCTATAAGTGATGTATTGTTATAACATGATGGGACTAATTCTGGTATGATTTGACAATAAGAATGCTCACATCATGCTCTGTAGAGATTAAAAAGGATAGACTGCTGTCAAATTCAGTTTTAAATTTAGAGAATAATGCCGGCATAAGTCTCAATGTTCAAATTCTCACTTGCGGCGAGTTATCATTTAAGTGATGATGTTGTGAATTATTGTTTTATTTTAATACAGGCCCTGCCAGAATACCAGCGTTGTCGTGACACGTTTAGTTACATGTCACGGCAGCATTATGCTGAGACAGGGTCCTGATTGACCAATATGATGGCTGTTAGCTTTATAAATGTGTGTAATGTTTACTTTTTATATATGTTTTTTTTATTTTAGCAGTTTATAATTATATGTTTGTGTTTTATTGGTCAATAAAATGGTTCTCTCTCTCTCTCTCTCTCTCTCTCTTTTTATTGTTGTAAAATATTTTTTTATTTTCATATATTTATGTTTGTTTGACCATCTGCCGGTTGCCATGAAACATGACTAGCGGAAGATCACAGCGGTCGGTCGCGGGTGAAGAGAGAGGTGTGACTCTCATTCTTCCTCTCCTAACTCGCGGCTCTCCTCCGATCTCCTGTTTGAAGAAAAGTGTGAGTTTAATACTGGTGTAATTTATGTGTTTTTACGCGACATTATCTGGCTGATTAAATCTGTAAGGGTATAGGGTATTCTGTGTATAGATCTGTTTAGCTGATAATACAGCGCTAGATAAAAAATAATAACAATAATTAGCCTAGCCCCAAAGTAAGCACTGTGGGCCTTGACCCACCACGCCGGCCCAGTGCGGATTGATGGGTGCTAACGACTGCAGATGCAGCCGGGGCCAACGGCTTAACGTGCCTTACAAAGCTCGGGATAGTAAAATTTTGAGCACCCATCCAATGACTGACCATTTCGAATTTCATGGTGTCGCCTACTCGAGAGGTCCCGGGTTCGAATCCCAGTGGGGGCAGATGTTTGTGTAATGAATACGAGCATTTGTACTCCAGTCATGGATGTGTAATATGTATTTCTATATAAATCACTACATAGTATAAAACAAAGTCGCTTTCTCTGTCCCTATGTATATATATGCAACGGATTATGATGCGGTTTTTTTAATAGATAGAGTGATTCAAGAGGAAGGTTTATATGTATAATACATGCATAATATAGTTGAAAACCCCTGATAATTTTAGAGGTTTTTAATATAAGGTCGTAAATAAACCAATTTTTATGCGCTTACATTGCAAACGCTGGTTGAACCCAACGAGATAGATCAAAATAATGTACTACAGTATTGTACACCTTAAAAAGGTCTTCAAAAAAGTCCGCGATGGTATATGCCTATCTCTTTGGTATAACCCACAATAACCATTTTTTAATTACTTATTACGAGAAAATAATGGCTTATTTACGAACAAGCGATTTTAAGCAATACAACATTAATCCTTATCCAATTAAGTACCTTAAATACATTGTGCGTGTAATATAGATCAATATGGCCCTTTACAGCATGTAATTTAAATGAATATTTTCGAAGATATTACAGATTTAAAATGCAGGAACATACCGGTTCGGGCAGTACAGGCCGGGGGGCGGCGGCGGCGCGTGTCTTTAGTAATTAGGTATTTAAAGAAAGTCATTGTGTTTAATAGAAGCTTGAGAACAAAAATATAATCTAAACTACAGCTCTACACCGAAGCGAAGCGAGGGCGGGCCACTAGTATACTTATATATTGTAACAGTATAAGTATTTTATATACGTTACCCTAGTATCCCAAAACACAGCCTACAGTATCCATAGCACGAACATGTATTCGTAACGTTTGCGAGTCTGAAATGTCATCGTCAAATGTGTACTGATTATTAGTTCCCGTTAGGCCCGTTATGGCGCTGCTGTTCAAGTTTCCATACAAAATTTGACATTGGCATTTCGTATTTGCAAACTATTCGAATTCGATAATGATCCGTGCTCGGGGTACAGTGCTTACTTAGGGGCAAGGCTAATTGGTGTGAGTGTTGGAAATGTTTATTTATATTTTTGAACTAGTGGCCCGCCCTCGCTTCTCTTCGGTGTAGAGCTGTAGTGAAAACTATAGTTTTTGTTCTCAGGCTTGTGCTATAAACAATGACTTTATTTATATCATCATCATCATCAGCCTATTAATGTCCCCACTGTTGGGGCACAGGCTTTCCCTATGGATGGAATAGGGAGATTGGGCCATGACCCACCACGCGGGCCCAGTGCAGATTGGTGGGTGTCAACGACTGCAGATGCAGCCGGGACCAACGGCTTAACGTGCCTTCCGAAGTACGGAGGAGCTCGAGATATTAAATTTTTGGTCACCCATCCCATGACCGACCACTGCGAAAGTTGCTTAACTTCAACGATCGCAGCCGTACGCGCTAACCACTTGCGCCATCGAGCTCCTCATATTATATAATTATCCTCCTCCTTATTTATATAATTACAGGTGTTATTGTGAGTCAACCATAAAAGATAGACATATGCTGTTGCAGGATATTTTTTAGACAATTCTATGTAGAATATTTCCGTCATACATGATTTCTATGTAACTTTAACCATTAAGGCTGCACACGCGACGGAAGCTTAAAAAATGGAGTAACTTCTCCCGTTTTCCCAACATTTCCCTTCACTACTCTGTTGCTATTGATTGTAGCGTGATGAAAAGTATACTATAACCTGCCCAGGAGTATGAAGAATAATTGTACCAAGTTTCGTTAAAATCCGTCGAGTAGTTTTTGTTTCTATAAGGTACATACACACAGACAGACAGACAGACAAAAATTTTACTGATTGCATTTTTGGCATCAGTATCGATCACTAAACACCCCCTGATAGTTATTTTGAAAATATATTTCATGTACAGAATTGACCTCTCTACAAATTTATTATAAGTACTAGCTGACCCAGCGAACTTCGTACCGCCCTAACAAAATAGGGGTTGTCCAGCGGACAAAATTGTGAATCTAAACCATTCTCAGATCCCCTTGAACACACACAAAAAATTTCATCAAAATCGGTCCAGTCGTTTAAGAGAAGTTCAGTGACATACACACTCACAGAAGAATTATATATATAAAGATAGATAAAATTATTACCTGTTGTTATAGTGGTAGTTGGCGGTGGCGACAACGCCGGGGGCAGCGACAGAGGTTACTGCAGGGGCGCACCGGTACAGGCCGCTGTCCCCGAGCGGTTGACACGCCAGCGGGTGAGCCGCGCGCGCGGGCCAACCGCCCCCTCCCGCGCCCGCGCCCCCTCCCGCGCCCGAGGTCCCGCCCCCGCCCCATGGCTCCGACCGCTTGCCGTATCTACTGCCCATGAAGAACCTGGCCGAGAACGACAACCGAATTCATCAAACTATACTTGTTCGCTCTTGAACTACTCGCGTGAAATACGCAACCGCCGAACACTACCGAATGATCACGACGGCGGCCGACGGGCGTTGTCGGCAACAATCGTTTATTATTATTAAGCCGCGTATCCACTAGAGGCAGCCTCGCGTCGAGCGGCCTCAACTTGAAGCAAGTAGCCTCAGTTTGAGGCTGCTCGCTCTGAGGCAATGGCTACGGATCAGCACGAGGCGTGTCGCCTCAGCTTGATCCGCTGGCGGCGCACTGCGCAGTTAAAAGCCAAAACGCGATGGCACCAGACGCGCGTCGAGTAGCCGCTGCTTTAATAGCAATAACCATTATTAAGAAAAAGAGAAGGCAACAAAAAGCTATACAAAAGAAGAAGCATCGCTGGTGGATAAAAGAATTATACCGCAATAGAAATATACATGGATGTGAACACTTGCTATTAGACATGACGTTGGAAGGTGGCGATAGCTTTCGAAATTTTAGCGACCGTCTCCATTAAACACACGGCTCGGACTGAGGCGCCTTTGAGCACGGCACAGAAACCAACAAAATATGGCTCGGCTCGCGGCGACGAATTTGCCTCGCGTCGCGGCGTGCCTCAGGTCGAGGCAGCGTCTCCACTTGCGCAGCCTCGGAGTGAGGCAGCCGCTCGACCCGAGGCTGCCTCTAGTGGATACGCGGCTTAACGGCTCTTGAGAGAAGACAAGACACAGAAAATTTTACTCGCTTCGTTTGATTGCATATCTACTATATAAAAATAAGTCGGGTTTTCCTTCCTGACGCTATAACTCCAGAACGCACGAACCGATTTCCACGGTTTTGCATTCGTTGGAAAGGTCTCGGGCTCCGTGAGGTTTATAGCAAAGAAAATTCAGGAAAAATTAAAAAAAAAATCTTCTTTTAATCACCAAACGAAATGTTACATAAAACGAAGCCATCTGGTGGCGAAACGGAGTTCGCCGAGTTTGCTAGTATATTATATTAATACTAGCTGACCCAGCGAACTTCGTACCGCCCTAAAAAAATAGGGGTTGTCCAGCGGACAAAATTGTGAATCTAAACCATTCTCAGATCCCCTTGAACACACACAAAAAATTTCATCAAAATCGGTCCAGTCGTTTAAGAGAAGTTCAGTGACATACACACTCACAGAAGAATTATATATATAAAGATTAGCAAATCTGTAATTTGATTTCAATTGAAGATTAAATGCTTGTAAAGGAATCAAGATTGAAATTATTATTTCCTGGAGTTAACTACTTACTAGCAAACCAGTGAACCAAATGTTCACCAAAACCTGATTTCTCGATTCGAAATCCGGTTTGTAGTCTTATCAGACTATTCTTAACTTATAACTTAAATATTCTCTTTATCTATCTCTTACGGTTTGGCCGCTGAAACAGCACCACAGACGGACGGACGGACTTGTCTAATAGATAAGAGATACTCATTAAAAAAGTTTAAGCAACGCGTACGATTTTGAACTTTGGAACGATTTTTACGATTGTAATACACTCGGGAGCAATGAATCCGGGTCATTTGAAGAATCCTTAAAATCTCGCAAACTAAGAATGTTAGCGTAGTAAAATAAATTCTAAATAATAGACAATTAAACACTCCTTAATTGAAGATATTAAAACTTCTTAGTTATTGTAAAGTTATATCATGAATAAATCAATTTTGAAAGGAAGACTTTCGAAGATGGAACTGCGATATTACTGCATTTGTTTTTGTTTCTAATCTGTCATTTATCATTCATACAAACCATGTCGATAGTGTTTAATATTTATAATTCAAGCTATAATCATGTCGTTTACACCTGAAGAATGCACTAGAATTCTCACAATGCTGGAAACCGGCCGGAGTCAGCGCGATACTTGGTGAACAGCATGCTTCGAAATCGCTTTCTCACAGGAACTGAAATTACAAATCAGTTTCGACGCTCCGGAGGAAGTAACCCAAGCGAATGGACACTAAGACGACAACTTGCTAAAGCTAGCTTGAAACCACTTAGATCTACAAACGGCCCTAAAGTAGAGCGTGGGCATCGTATTTTAATTGTTTTTATTTATTTTTTAAGCATTTAACTGCTAGATGATTAAATCTAAAGAAAAGCTTTACTAAAAAAAATCATTGAAAAGGTATTCATTGTGGGTTACCTACATTGCAAAGAGATGGCGCTGCTTTGCAGCTTAAGGCTAGGAAAATTTCGACGCGGCCATCAGGGCCGTGGTAGCATAATTGGTCAGTGCATTCGCCCGGATTGCGAAGGGTGCGGGTTCGAGTCCCGTCCGCTGCCTGGTTCGCGTGGATTTATTTTCTAGTAAAACTTTTTTTTATATCGTATTTTCAGACTAACCTAGGTATGTATGCCCAGAACCACTTATTGATAATTGGTCAAAAGATATGTTCTCCGACGAATCAAGTGCTCTACAAGCACGATGGAAGACACAGAGTATACAGAAGACCTGCGGAAATATTCAAACAAGCATGCATCGAAGAAAAAGTAGCCTAGTGCGTGCGGAATATTTTCTAGTAAAATCTTCTTCAGAATTAAATCTCTTCATTATATCTCAAACGCTTCATGGAAATAAAACTCACTTTTAATAAATACTTACTATTAACTAAAATAGTAGATTTTTAATATAAGAAGCAACCATCTGAGCGCCTATCTAGGGGAAGACTTTTACCTTACAGAAAATTACACTATCTGGAAAATTCTGAGATTTTGCACAACAGAAGATTACTCTAAAGCAGTGTTTCCTAAGCTTTCCAATACTACTACCCCTGTAACCTATAAGGAAAACCGATTTTACCCCGACTTTAAAACGTTATCATGAGTTCAAGAAATTCCAATTTGGCCGCTACATCTTCGTCTCTAATAATGTCATCATCAGGAGACAATCTCGCCCCGATTCCCACACTCAGCACCCCGCGGGCTCGCTAGCAAGAAGGAGCGCATGCTCTTTTTATAGTATTTGCTTATTATTTAAATTTGATCAAATAATTAGGTTCTTTGTTACCCCCGAATTATGGCTGATTTACCTCCTGAGGGGTAATTACCCCTAGGTTCGGAACCCAGGCTCTAAAGCCTATATATGGTTTTTTAACCATATATGTAATAAGTTTTTCCATACAGAAAAAAATTAGAACTAATTGAGTATGTAGGTAGGTATCAAAATAACAGATGAGTTTTACCTGTCATTCCTAGGACTCATCAAGCGAGGCTGGGAGCGCCCGTACCGCGAGCCTAACACGAATGGCATCGGTGACACTGTAACAAAATGATATATAACACCACCAATGATATTTTACACTTTTTCTCCACTGCATTGTCATGGCTTATTCTCTTTTCTCCTTGCAAAATCATAATATATATAAATCTTGTGTCACAATGTTTGTCCTCAATGGACTCCTAAACCACTGAACCGATTATAATAAAATTCGCACACCATGTGCAGTTCGATCCAACTTGAGAGATAGGATAGTTTAAATTTCAAATTATAGTCGCAATTTTAATTTATTGCAAATTATTACTTTTAGGCGGTACGAAGTTCGCCGAGTCAGGTAGTCTTTTATATGTTTATTATAAATAAAGCTAGTCTACTCACTCATAAAGGTGATGGCTGAAAATCGGTATTTTGCCTTAAAACTGGCAAATGTTTAGCCGAGCCTTGGCCTTTTGTTTTCTGCAGCATACATATGGATATTTCATAGCTGATTTCTTGTATCTTTTTTTTTATTGTATTACTCTGCCTGTTAATGTATATGTATGTTGAAGAAAAAATAAACGCATTATCTATCTATCTATCATCTTAGGCTCGTATTACAGAATGACAACTGAGTGTTGATATTTATTTGACTAGTTAGAAAGGGATATCGCTATGTGCTATACATAACGACATCCCTGTCTAACTTTACTCAAGTAAATGTCATTCTGTAATACCAGCTTAAATCTTATCTGCTAGGATTATTATTATGTGTTAGTGTGCAGGCATACGGTTGTGCTACTTTATTTATTTGTTTCATCATCATCAGCCTATTAATGTCCCCACTGCTGGGGCACAAGCCTTCCCTATGGATGGACTAGGGAGATTGGCCCATGATACACCACGCGGGCCCAGTGCGGATTGGCAGATGCTAACAACTGCAGATGCAGCCGTGAGCAACGGCTTAACGTGCCGTTGGACAAGGAACAAGGAACTCGAGATAGTAAATTATTTGTCACCCATCCAATGACCGACCACTGTGAAAGTTGTTTAACTTCAACGATCGTAGCCGAATGCGCTATCGAGCTCCTCCAGATACGTCATACACGCTTCTAATTTGGAAATACAAAAGTCAGGTCCCGCTATCTCGCCCCGGCTACACCTCGATAAAACGTGTAAATATTTTACGTTTTTTCCAGACAAAAAGCCCTATGCGTGTTTTAGATAGTATACAAAATACACGATAACTTATTTTAACAGTATATACTTACTGTACTCGCTCTCGGCCCGTTTGCCAGCGTCGCCGGCGGCCGCACCCGCCACTAGCGTCATCAACGCCAGCACGGCGCCGCACAGCACGCCGCACCGCCACCGCCCGCGCCCGCCACCTGTCGCACGCACGCACATCGCACGCGCACTATTGAGCGGTCACAAATAAAGGAAATTAACATGGCATCGAGGATTCTGTCCATTTTCATGGCCTACACCCAGTGCCGTCTTTGACCTATTAAATAAATAATAATAAAATAAAATAAAAATCGTTTATTTTCAGACAGAGTCCATTGATATGTTAGTATAATTGATTTAAATGCTATGTTAGTAACAATAACACAATACAATAAAATAAAATTTAACAAATATTGGCGTGGAGTCCCATACAGCTGGGCGGATTCACCACACACGTGAACGCAGCACGTGCAGCTCAGTGAACCGGCCCAGCAGCACGGAGTCCAGCGGGTCCCCTACCATCCTCAGGACGCTGTTCGTGCTCTCTCTCACTCTTCTAACTAATGAGCCAACTTTTTTGCGAATAACCGCATAGAAGTCGTCGACTCCTGCATCGGCAAACATGCCTGAGGCGCTGCAGTAGCGAGGAAGTTATACGAGGAACTATTGGAGGCCCTGGGCATATTAGGATAATGGGGCCCCTATGACTTCCGTTTGGTGATTTCACAGGAACTAGGGACTCTGTATTTGATCTGAGGGGGCTCCCTATCGATCGCGGGGCCCTGGGCACTTGCCCAAAGTGCCCCCTGGGAAAGACGGGTCTGCCTACACCACAGAAAAAGGTTAGAAGTTCGTGAACTGTTTGCACGGGAACCGATGTCACTGGCTCACCCCCGCTACACTTCCATAATTAAAAGTCAATCAAACGACGCGACATCAAACAATACACACGCCCATACCGGAGAGAAACGACGCAATCAGAACCAAGTTTTGGTCAAGTTATAAGCATTTGCTCACTCTTTCTGTGGAACAAACTGCGTCCATACTGTTTTGTACTACTATTTGCAGAAATCTGCCATTTACACAGGGGATAACCCCTGGTCTGTGTGGCAGCATTTCTGCCACGAGTTGAGAAAAATATTTTAATGTTTTAATTTTTCATATTTTGCTTTTAATCATATTTAGTAATGGTTTTTAATTTACACATCTAATCTTTATATATATAATTCTTCTGTGAGTGTGTATGTCACTGAACTTCTCTTAAACGACTGGACCGATTTTGATGAAATTTTTTGTGTGTGTTCAAGGGGATCTGAGAATGGTTTAGATTCACAATTTTGTCCGCTGGACAACCCCTATTTTTTTAGGGCGGTACGAAGTTCGCTGGGTCAGCTAGTATATAGATAAGTTTGTAGAGAAACTATTCAGGATTGATTTATGACATAACTGAAGCCTGGATGTACAGTAGAACTCGAATAATAAGAGCAAAATCGGCCAAATGTTTTTTTTTATTTTCCTGCCGTGAATAACAAAATGGAGGGGAATTTTCTTGCTTGAAATAAGTTAAAAAAAAGGTTTATTTCTCGAGCAAAAGGTACTCTGTGACCTAAAATAATAGGTATAAGGGCAAGGCAACAATAAGTCGTTGGAAGAGAAAACCAGATTTGTGCAAGATGCGGATGCTGCTTCCGGTCGGCGGCCGGAGCTCCTAGTTCGATGTTGTTTCAGTAAAAAAGACTAGACCTACGTACTGAATTGACAATATCTCTTTCTTATCTGTGGTGTGATGCTGATTTCATTTAGGGATGATGACTATTTTTTTTTCTTCGTTTATCAGGTAGATTATCTAAAAGTATTGGACACGTATTTTTTCTTTTTTCACTTATTATAAACATTGCAGAGATATATTGATTTGAAAAGTCGCATGACGTCTCGTTTGAGTACACTTATAAGTGAAAATTCACTCAAAAGTGACGTCACGAGCCCCTACTCCCAAACTTTGACGCGATATAACTTTGTCATTTTTTGTTTGATTGCCCAAAGAAAAAATACGTGTCCATTATTTTTTGACCATCTAACTGATGACGGACTAAATAGAATTTCGTCTACTGTACCCCGTCATCACCCCTATTGTGATAAATATTGGCATGGTTTTATAAAACAACAATGTAAGAGAAACTTTGAAAGCATAAACTTTAGTTGATGTTATATCAAATTGGACGACCTCCGTGGTCGAGTGGTTCGTACGCCGGGTTTCATGGTGTCGCCGACTCGAGAGGTCACGGGTTTGAATCACGGTGGGGGCAGATGTTTGTGTGATGAATACGAGCATTTTTACTCCAGAAATGGAGGTTTTAATATGTATTTCTATATAAATATACTTATAAATGTACGGTATATGTATTCTATCCGTTACCCTAGTATCCCATAACACAAGCCTTACAGTGCTTACTTTGGGGCTAGGCTAATTGGTGTGAGTGTTGGAAATATTTATTTATTATTTATCAATCAATCAATACTTTATTGCGTTCTACAATGTTTTCTTAGATCTTAGTAGGTACATTGCTTTGATCATTGTAGACCCTGAACAGGGCACAGCAAATAGAGAAGAGGACGCATTCACTAATTGTAATTTAGTTAGTACGTATACAATTTACCAGCCAAATACGATAATTTTTACCCAACAAATAAAAACATATTAATATCAACATTATTCAATCATTTTAGCTCATTAATATATTATTTGATTTATTATCTATGTCATATTCTATAGCATATCATGTTATATTATATTAAATTTAATTATATACAAATTAAATTAAATAAAATGTCAGGTATAGTAAAAATTTACGACGTTAATACCATTACTTTAAATTATTATCTTCTAAAAATTCCTTAACCGTGTAATTTAAACCGTGTAACATTTGCTTAATCGTAGCTTTTTAATTTTTCCAATGAATATATTATCAACCTTTTCCTCAACTAACGTTTTAGGTAATTTGTTATGAATTTTGACAGCCATTAGAAGTGGACCAGATAAGTTCATTTTCAGCCTTGTAGTTGGTATAAGTAAGAAGTTTTATAAATTTTATTTATTATCATTTTTTGACGTGACAACGTCTTAAATTAGGTTGCGGCTGGGAGTCACTTATGAAAAAGTGTAACGCTCGGTAACGTTACGATGAGTCTCGTAGCATGCTGGAACCCCGTAGCCGTGTAGCAAGTTTGCTACGAATCGTCGTAGCGTGGTTGCATGCTACGATGGTATTCACAAGCACAATGCATTGTAATATGTTTTTTTGACGTATTATATATATTTCTATAGTTAAAATTTGTGCAATTCTTATTTTCATTCAATTCCTTGTTCCTATTGTGCAATTTAATTATATTCATATCAATAAATATTCTACCGAGAAAAAGACGTTGTCACGTAAAATCTTCGCCCGTAAAACCGACTTTACAGGCAACCATTTTTTGTTTTTTTTTCATATGTTTATTTGCAATCAGCTCCAAGCTTTAAACAAATGCGTTGGAAATAGTGTTTTTATTTATACGAGTATGCCCTCCATTGAGAGCATCTACTCTCTATATTTTTAATTAAAAAAAAAGTCGTTTTTTTCGAATGCCAAAAAATTTTTGACTTTTCAAAAATATTTTGTACATCTCACAAACTATGTATATAGTGATGCTAGCGCATTAACATCTTCTTAAAGCCCTTCAATTTCCTCGTCTTTTGAGTCCTTATACGTATGAGTACGCATGAGTATGAATGAGGACGAGGGCTTGAAACCGGTTTCAAAAATACAGGTAAATAAAGGTTAATACCGGTTTTAGTAGGGGTTTCGTTCGGAGTGCGTCCGAAATGAACGCGGTACCTAAAACCTTAATAAACCGGTTTAATCCAGAGCGACACGTGCACGCGTCGGCATCGCTTGAAATTGGTTTTGTTTGAACTAATCAGGTCACAACTTGTTAATGCTCAGAGATTGATGCACTTATTGACACGTTTGCTAGCGTCTAGTGAGTTAAGTTATTCATTATGTACTTGTGTATTTATTTCAGCCGTCAGTAACAGCGAAATGAAACCCTGTAAATACCGCTAAATTGATTCAAAACCTATTTGGTTTCGCTTTTTAGGAAAACCGGGTTTTTAAGGTTAAACCTAAATAAAACGCTCCTTATGTACTTGACACTGATTTAGGTTTGAAAATTAACCGGTAAACAAGCCCTGATGAGGACGTTTTCGTGGCCCTAACCTCCGGGTATCACGGATGCGTCGCACTTTCAGCGAAACTGGGGGCCTACTGGAACGAACGAAAAAACATTTTCAATGTTAAAACTTCCTCGGCTGCCAATCGAACCCGGGCCTCCCGCGTGACTGACGAGCTTTCAGCCACTAAACCACAGATGCTAGTTAGCAAGGTCTGAAATTTATGAGCAATCGAAAATGTAATGCCACATGCAAAAGAAGAATGAATAACTTTGTGGTAATGTGAAAAAAGTATTGCCTGCGGGGACTTTTGTCCGTCGCAACACAATGCTTAGAACTGCACCGAGTAACAGATTAAAAATAGCGCGGACAAAAATCCCCCGAACTACCGCAGACACCGAGGGACCGGGCAGAAGAAAAGTACGCGTAGAGTCCACAAAAAAAAATAGAACATTCAGGCGCTTTGCAGACGGCGCGGCGGGGCGGAGCGGGCCGGTCAATTTCGCCGCGAACGATAGCACAAAGTGAATCCTATACTACAAACGCACACAGAGGGCAAAAAGACCGCGCCTTGGGTGCCCGGCGGGCAGTGGCGGCGCGGCATGTCCGCGGCTGCCCGCCGTGGATCATACAAACCAGTTTATATGCAGTAACGCAGACGGGCGGCGCGGGGCGGCTCAGTCCGCGCTTTTTAGTAATGGACTATTCACTATAACGAACGTCCTGGACTGACTGCCTCTGCCCGTTGTGTGCTTTGTGTACGCGACGAGGGCAGCTGCAGACATCGACGGGCAGACGCGGTTTTTATGGCTTCGCGGACAAAAAGCCCGCCCCGCCCCGTCGTCTGCAAAGCGCCTTATGTGACTTGACTAGAGACTCTAGTTTGCGTCCGCGAGAGTGATGCTGTACGTATGCACAATAGCGCATTGAGTCGATTGTAAAATTATTATAATACTAGCAAAACAGTGAACCAAATGTTC